AAGCTTGAATGTTGTGTCCATACTTGCCCCAATCGTTCATGGTTCGACCTCTGCGGTCGTATCAAGCTGCGCCAAGCGGAGCATTTTATTAGTTTCTGTTCTCTACTTAAGTTAGCCTCAATTAAATGTTATGAGACTTACACACAATGCTTATTACCACAAAACTCAGATCAAGTTCAAATTTGGGTAGCGTCACTTTTACCGTTCTTCAGTTATGTCCCTTTATAACTATATGACATGCAAGCGGGGGCATCATCTGTGTCCACATGTGGACACTATCCACATTTATTTTTAAAGTATCCTTGTAACTAAGGATCATTAATTTCTTCCAGGAATAGGAAATTTCTGAGAGGGTTTTATTAGGTCATTCATTGTGGGGAATGAAAGATACTCATTCTTTTTTAGTCTTTTGTTTAGTTTTATGACACAAGCCCGAAATCATGGACTTTCCATATCATCAAGAAAATACATTGTAGAAATCAGAAGGATTACTGTAAACTAACTATAGAATACTGCATGTCAAAGCTTTGAGCAATCGAAAAGTTCATATAGTTCGGACATGTTTAAGTACATAGAGAGGAATAATGATAAAAGGAAATTAATGTTGACCTTTTTAGATAAATATCACACTTCAAGATGATTAAAGTTGTTTACCTACTCAACGTGTTATCATACAGATTAGGTAAGTGATAACCACATTGCAATAAAACAATTCTGACAACACTTTAAATTTTGTTTTGCCTGAAAATCAAATAATTATGAACAGTTACAAGGATACTTTCAAAAATAAATGTGGATAGTGTCCACATGTGGACACAGATGATGCCCCCGCTTGCATATCATATAGTTATAAAGGGACATAACTGAAGAACGGTAAAAGTGACGCTACCCAAATTTGAACTTGATCTGAGTTTTGTGTTAATAAGCATTGTGTGTAAGTCTCATAACATTTAATTGAGGCTAACTTAAGTAGAGAACAGAAACTAATAAAATACTCCGCTTGGCGCAGCTTGATACGACCGCAGAGGTCGAACCATGAACAGTTGGGGCAAGTATGGACACAACATTCAAGCTTGATACAGCACTGAATTTTGGTTGTGATTCAATATTTGACACAGCATAGGTTTCTGACACAGAATGAATGTGGTCTAAGAACTCTAAGGAAACCCCCCCCCCCAATTTTTTTAACCCCCTTATGATTCATCACCCTAAAACTCAATCCCAGCCTTCCCTTTGTGGTATGGTACCTTGCAGTACAATTTCAGAGAGATCCATACAATTGAACACAAGTTATTGTCTGGAAACTAGAAAAATGCTTGTTTTTATCCCTTTTTTGACCCCAAATTCCTAAACATTCAGGGCAATTACCCCCAAACTCAAACCAAGCTTTCCCTTTGTGATATGGAAACTTGTAGTACAATTTCATAAAGATCCATACACTTACACACAAGTTATTGTCATGAAACTAGAAAAATGCTTGTTTTGGCCCCTTTTTTGGCCCCTAATTCCTAAAATTTTGAGGCAATTACCCCCAAAATCATTCCAAGCATTTCCTTTGTGATATGGATCCTTGCATTTCAATTTCAGAGAGATCCATATACTTTAACACAAGTTATTGTCTGGAAACTAGAAAAATGCTTATGTTTGGCCCCTTTTTTGGCCCCTTATTCCTTAACGTTTCGGGCAATTACCCCTAAACTCAATTCCAGCTTTTCCATTGTGAAATGGAACCTTGTAGTACAATTTCATAAAGATCCATACACTTACACACAAGTTATTGTCATGAAACTAGAAAAATGCTTGTTTTGGCCCCTTTTTTGGCCCCTAATTCCTAAAATTTAGAGGCAATTATCCCCAAAATCATTCCAAGCATTTCCTTTGTGATATGGAACCTTGCATTTCAATTTCAGAGAGATCCATAGACTTGAACACAAGTTATTGTCTGGAAACTAGAAAAATGATTATTTTTGGCCCCTTTTTGGCCCCTTATTCCTTCACGTTTTGGACAATTACCCCAAAACTCAATTCCAGCTTTCCCTTTGTGAAATGGAACCTTGTAGTACAATTTCAGAAAGATCCATAGAATTACACACAAGTTATTGTCATGAAACTAGAAAAATGCTTGTTTTTTGCCCCTTTTTGGCCCCTAATTCCTAAAATTTTGAGACAATTACCCCCAAAATCAATCCAAGCATTTCCTTTGTGATATGGAACCTTGTGGTACAATGTCAGAGAGATCCATACACTAACACACAAGTTATGTCTGGAAGCTTAACCATAACCATAACCCCCAAAATCAATCCCTGCCTTCCTTTTGTGGTATTGAACCTTATGGTAAAATTTCATAGAGATCTATTCACTTAGACTATAGTTAGAGTGCGAAAACCAATGTGTCTTCGGACAACGACGACGCCAACGTCATACCAATATACGACCGCAAAATTTTTTTGCTGTCATATAACAATTCAGCAATTTTTTTTATTTGTAAACACGCATAACTCTAGAACGGTTGTGTATGAGTTTTATAACATTTGGTTGAGACAAACTAAAGTTAGAGAACGGAAACGAAAAATTCAGCAATTTTATGTTTATAAAGGGACATAACTCAAGAATGGTAAAAGTGTTGCCACCAAATTTTGCACTTAATCTGTATTATGTAGTAATAAGCATTGTGTATAAGTTTCATAACATTTGGTTGAGGCAAACTAAAGTTAGAAAACGGAAACAAAAAATTTGTACTTGATCTTAGTTTTGTGGTAATGAATATTGTGTATAGGTTTCACAATGTTTGGTTGAGGCAAACTTAAGTTACAGAATGGAAACTAAAAATTTTGCAATATTTCAATTTATAAAGGGGCATAACTCAATAATGATTAAAGTGACACTACCCAAATTCAACTTGATCTGTGTTTTATCAGTGGAAGTCAAAATTAAACATTGCATTGTATAAAGCATTGATTGTAGTTGATTCAACTTTAATCATGGACAAAGGAAGATAACTCCAATTTTAAAAATTACTTGATATTTAGAAGAAAATAAAAATTTTGCAATTTTATGTTTATAAAGGGGGATAACTCTAGAATGGTTAAAGAGACGCCATCAAAATTCAAACTTGATCTGTGTTTTGTGGTAATAAGCATTGTGTATAAGTTTCATAACATTTGGTTGAGGCAAACTAAAGTTAGAGAACGAAAACGAAAAAATCAGCAATTTTTCCATTTGTAAAGGGGCATAACTCTAGAACGGTAAAAGTGACGCCACCAAAATTGAAACATGATCTGTGTTTTGTGGTAATAAGCATTGTGTATAAGTTTCATAATATTTAGTTGAGGCAAACTAAAGTTACAGAACAGAAACCAATTTTGTGATGTACGAACATATGTACGTACCTACGTACATACGGACAAGGGTAAAACTTAATGCCCCCTCCACTACGGCAGGGGCATAAAAATTATTCCATTTTTCTTTATGGAGTTTAAAAACTAATTAAGTAGAGTTGATTTTAACTGACCTTGCTTTTTTCATGTGACCGTGAAAACATAAGGAGTTGTCATTCAAGACCGTCAATAAATTATTTAAGCCAAGTCTGTTTTAGATTGAACAATGTAAAAGAAGTTTTCCATAGGTCTCAAAGGCATTCATTAGGCCTATAAACACTATGTATGCCAATGAATCCACAATAAATGAAAAGTCTTTGTTGAGGTCTTAATTACCGGTCCTATAAAGTTCAAAGTGATTTTGATTTGCAATTTCTGTGAATACATTTATCCTGTCAGAATCAAGCATTGCCTCTGGATTGAATTTTTTTTTCTTCAAACAAATGATGGATTTCTCTTACATAGGTCAAGTAAGACAATTCCGTTAATTCAAACTGGTAAAGTAGTCGATATACAGAACATGAGAGTGTTATATCCCTTAGGTTTAAATTGGAATGTTTAATGTAACCATTCCTGTCAAGTATGCCACCTTTTCAAAATGAACCAAACAGTCTTTGTGTAAGGGCCTTAAGTCAACATTCTTAGATTTCAATCATGATTTCAAATTTGAAAAGAACCTGTTTTAGTTGTAATTTCTGTGGAGCATAAAATAGAAGATCAACCAATCAGAATTCCATAATTGGATATTCGTGTCAAGTTCATTGAAAATCTGAAACATTAAAGGACATTAAAGGATGTACTACAGACACCAATTGTTGACCCTACTGGTTATGACAGCTTCTGCTGGCCTTTAGATTATGTGAGGTAACAAATCAAAATCTTATTTTACCACGGTTTTAGGAAACAGTTAATTGTTTTCAAGGTCAATATTGCCTGATAAGTTAGTTCAAAATGACCAAGTAATTTAAGTCTAGATGACCAAAATACGAAAAGTTCCGCACTGGCCAATGGACACCTTGACTGTGATAGCCCTAGCTCAACTGAACCTCTTAATAAAAGTGGCCAAAGAAATTTTGGACATATAAATCTGATTTTTTTATGAACTTTGAAAATCATTTATTATTAATTTTCTTTTCATGTCCGTTTATTTTTCTCCATATTAAAAGCGAAGCTCTCAAGAGTCTCTACTGCATAATTTGTAACAATTATGGTATTTAAATCAGGATCAAAATATTTCAAAACTTTCATTTACGGTCATAGTAACTATCTCTTGATGTAGAAAAAGTTGAAACCAGTAGAACTGGAATCATTCACTAGACAAAAGATACCTTTTAATTCCTCAAGAGAAGATAACTTCACAAAAGTTAAGCTTCAGATGGCTTTATTTTCTACAATACAATTAATACATGTAGTAAGGTTTAACTTTTGTCTTGTTGTTTAAAGGAGAAGAATTTTGAAATTGGCCTATCAGATTCAAAGATCATAATTTGCTGTGAAGTTTCAGAGATGATGAAAATGTAATTTTCCATAGGGAACTATGAAATAAGGATTGTTTGTACAGCACATTCATCAACCTGCCTCAAGTTTAGAAACGAGGAATACTTCTATCACACTTGGAGTTATCTGATTATGGTGTTCTTTGGTGTATCGCCACAATATAGCCTTTTAGTGCTGATGCAGCATAAAGTAATCACCAATCAATGTTCTTTGAAGTAGCTCATAACAGCTTTTAATTTAAACCTTTAAGAACCAAGTGGTGTATTGGGAACTGTAACCGTATACGCTAGCTTGTTAAAAATCTGAATCAGCCACCCAGCCGTGTACGAAATATGGTATTTTTGTAAATATGCATAGATTACTTTATCCAGGATACTTATCTGCAAACATTCAATTAATTCTGTTATTCATATTAAAAATATTTTTTTTCTTTTTACAAACAATCACAGTTTGACACAATACTTTGCTTGCATTTTAGGACTAGAAGTAATGAGACAAAATCACAAGATATATTTGTTGAAGACAGTGTAGCTTAATGTTTGGAAACTGTCCAAAAAGATAGTCAACTGTATGTTCTTTTATCATTCTGAATATCCTAGAAATATTTGCCACTGGAAGTTCAGTCAAATATCATTAATCCTTCTGATCCGTAGAGAGCTGAATGAAACATTCAAAACAGACCTATTGGTTGTACTACATTTATTCCAAATAAAATAAATAAAATGCTCCGCAGGGCGCAGCTTGATACGACCGCAGAGGTCGAACCCTGAACAGTTGGGGCAAGTATGGACACAACATTCAAGCTTGATACAGCTCTGAATTTGGATTGTGATTAAATATTTGACACAGCATAGGTTTCTGACACAGAATGAATGTGGTCTAAGAACTTAAAAATTTTAAATTGGACATTCACCTATTATGGTCCAATATCCAAAATCTAAATACATGGTTAGATTCAGCATATCAAAGAACCCCAAGAATTCAATTTTTGATGAAATCAAACAAAGTTTAATTTTGGACCCCGATTTGGACCAACTTGAAAACTGGGCCCATAATCAAAAATCTAAATACATGTTTAGATTCAGCATATCAAAGAACCCTAAAAATTCAATTTTTGTTAAAATCAAACTAAGTTTAATTTTGGACCCTTTGGACCTTAATGTAGACCAATTTGAAAACGGAACCAAAAATTAAGAATCTAAATACACGGTTAGATTAGGCATATCAAAGAACCCCAATAATTCAATTTTTGATGAAATCAAACAAAGTTAAATTTTGGACCCTTTTGACCTCAATGTGGACAAAGTTGATAACGGGGCCCAAAAATCAAAAATCTAAATACATGGTTAGATTCAGCATATCAAAGAACCCCATATATTCAATTTTTGTTGAAATCAAACAAAGTTTAATTTTGGACCCCAATTTGGACCAACTTGAAAACTGGGCCCATAATCAAAAATCTAAATACATGTTTAGATTCAGCATATCAAAGAACCCTAAAAATTCAATTTTTGTTAAAATCAAACTAAGTTTAATTTTGGACCCTTTGGACCTTAATGTAGACCAATTTGAAAACGGAACCAAAAATTAAGAATCTAAATACACGGTTAGATTCAGCATATCAAAGAACTCCAATAATTCAATTTTTGATGAAATCAAACAAAGTTAAATTTTGGACCCTTTGGACCTCAATGTGGACCAATTTAAAAAAGGGGCCCAAAATCCAAAAACTTAATACACGGTTAGATTCAGCATATTAAAGAACCCCAAGAATTCAAGAATAAAACCCCATTGAAATTGATCAAGAAATAAGCAATTTATACGAAGTATCTTCTTTTGCACAATACTGTGCAATTGAATATTTCTTGCTATTGCGCAATACTGTACAATTGACAATTTCTTGCTATTGCGCAATATTGTGCTATTGGATATTTCTTGCTATTGCGCAATACTGTGCAATTGAAGATTTCTTGCTATTGCGCAATACTGTGCAATTGAAGATTTCTTGCTATTGTGCAATACTGTGCAATTGAAAATTTCTTGCTATTGCACAATACTTATTAGATAATAATTTACACATCCTGTTTGGTGTGTATCTCCTACCATATCATTATTATTTGCTTTTAAATATTAATCAGAAATAACCAACTTAAAATGGAAAATTTTAAAAGAAAAAAAAAAGGAAAAAAAGAAAAAAAAAGAATCCCCCCCCAAATTTTTTGAACCCCCTTATGATTCATCAACCCCAAACTCAATCCCAGCCTTCCCTTTGTGGTATGGTACCTTGCAGTACAATTTCAGAGAGATCCATACACTTGAACACAAGTTATTGTCTGGAAACTAGAAAAATGCTTATTTTTGGCCCCTTTTTGGCCCCCAATTCCTAAACGTTTCGGGCAATTACCCCCAAACTCAATTCCAGCTTTCCCTTTGTGATATGGAACCTTGTAGTACAATTTCAGAAATATCCAAACACTTACACACAAGTAATTGTCATGAAACTAGAAAAATGCTTGTTTTTTGCCCCTTTTTTGGCCCCTAATTCCTAAAATTTTGAGGCAATTACCCCCAAAATCAATTACAGCCTTTCCTTTGTGATATGGAACCTTGTGGTACAATGTCAGAGAGATCCATACACTTACACACAAGTTATTGTCTGGAAGTTACAAAAATGCTTATTTTTGGCCCCTTTTTGGCCCCTAATTCCTTAACTGTTGGTACCATAACCCCTAAAATCAATCCCAACCTTCCTTTCGTGGTATTGAACCTTATGGTAAAATTTCATGGAGATCCATTCACTTAAACTAAAGTTAGAGTGCGAAAACCAATGTGTCTTCGGACGACGCCAGACGACGACGACGACGACGACGACGACGCCAACGTCATACCAATATACGACCAAAAAATTTTTAATTTTTGCGGTCGTATAAAAACAACATAAGATTATCAAAAACAAAGAAGTGTTTTAACAAAATTCAACTAAAACAATTTATTTCAATCTTTTCTTCAGCAATAACAGTTAACAAATTAATTAATCATAGTCCTGCAGATCTTGAATTTATCCGTTACTTCAATTTGAATCCTGATTTTTCACTCTAAAATATTTATATTAGCCATCATAATTTTATAGATAAGTACAGAAATTTTTCCCTTCTCCATCATATTATAAACACAAAATCAATGTAGACTTTTCTGCTTCAATTGTGCAAAAAAAAAATTCAAATGTTGATAGAGTAATAAGCATATTCTTTAATCTGTCTTGATAGCAAAAAAAAATCATCAGGTAAAAGAATCATTTAACATTACCTTGCAGATAAACAATTTTGCACAAAGAATCCTGCATATAAATGAAGGCTTAATTTAAAATTTCCTATGTTAACATAATTATTCAATATTAAACTGAAATTTCTCTAGGTACTATGATAAGATTTGTTATATCAAATTATCATAAAAAAACTTTAAAACAAAACATGTAGAAATATCATTCTTATAAAGTGTATACACTAAAAAACTTTAAAAATTAAATATACAATTAATCAGGACAAGTATGAAACATCCTATCTCAAACCTAGTTCAAAATCATTATGTGCAAATCATATCAGATTGTGTGTACAATTAAAAAGAATTTGTCAATAACAAATTTTTCAATGTCTGTAAATGTCTAAACAAAATAAAATAACAAACTACAATATTTATAATATTTCACATCCTGTGACAACTTAACTATCAATGTTCAATATTCCACTTCAGTGAAGTTGTCTATAATTCTGATAATGTCCTCAAGCTTCAGTCTCTGTAGGAATGTTGACATCAGCTGGTCATCAGGGTCCATGTGTTTTCCATGCAGTATGACCTGAGCTGTCAGGATCAGCAGGTGCTCCTTTATATCAGACATGTCAGGCTTAAAAACAAACCATTCAGGTAACCACAGATAAATCTGCATCAGATTTGCTGCATCAGTAGCAGTTGGTCTCTGGAAATAATGAAAGTTAAATTTACATATTCTGTATTAGACAACAAGGCCATTAGAATTTATAATCTTATCCTTGTGTATGATGTGTCAGGGCTAGTATTTCATTTTTAATAAAAGAAAATGTCAGGTATACTTCAACAACAGAAACTGAAATTTTCTGAATTCTAAGTAAAGTAACAATTAATGTATTAGACTTACTTGACAGTACTTTCTCATTTTTAAATGCATTGAAAATGTTCTCCAAAACAAAGTATATATGAAAACTGCCATTGCTGTTTAAATTTCACATACAGATTGTTACAGCTACATATCTCTTGAAAAAGTACAAACTGACGGAACTTATTTTTTTCCGATATTGCATGCAGTAGGTAAAATGAATAAATTTGTTCCTCACTGTGTCAATTTATAACTTTTAAGAGTCTATTATCCTAAATTGAGGTAAATTGTATGGCTTTCCAAATACCGTTTTGATTCCTAACATCACTGAAGAGACATTAATTGTCGAAATCCGGATATGGTGTACAAAAACCTTTGCACCTTTTGTTTGCGGTATACCATCTGTTTATTGTTTTCTGTTTAGTATTAAATTTATAATTAAGATCCATTTATTACATCGGTGATCCGTTTATTTGGCAATCGCCAATGGCAGTCAGCAGGATTTAAGAACATTTGTTGTTCGACCTGTTAGTCAAATGCGTTTTGTTAAAAAATACTTTTTCACTTTGTTGGTCTTTTCGAAAATGTTGTTTGTGCTGTATTTAGACCCCACTAACAAGAAATTTGTTTTGCATGCACACGTATAAAAATTGCGGTTTTTATCCAACGCAATCATAGGTTTGAACGTTGTTTTCAATTTAGACTAATTTATAACTTTAGATATATATATATATAATTTTAAGTTACACAAGAACCTTTATTATCTTTGGTTTTAATGAACAGTAGAAACTAACCTTTGTAGGATCTCTAGATAAACACAGTCTTACTAGTAACTTGACAATATTGGGAACTGTTTCTGTAATATATAATATATACTGCTGATACACACAATGTTACAAAAGATCAACATTACAAACTTAAAACCATGCCTGAATCACTAAATGTTATGAAACTTACGAGGCAATTTCAACAGAATTCATACAAGAAATGAGCTGTCAAATTAACAGCAATCAGGTTTTCTTTATTTTGTAGGCACTTTCAGGCTTGACTGACCTGACATGTTCCAGGCCTAATTTCCAATCTATTTAGAACCATAACTCCTGAACCGTTAAAGTGATAATAACATCGACATCAACTTATTGAAATTTGAAAAGTATTGGTTCAATGGTTTATAAGTTATTGCATGGAAACAACAGAAAGTGCCATTTTCAAATCTATCAAGGACCATAACTTCTGTACAGTAATAGTGAAAATCATCAATAACAAATTTGACCTCCATTTTGTCATCATTAGCAACATATTAAAATTTGAAAAGCCTTTTTAAAACGGTTCATAAGTTATTTCACAGAAACAACTTAAAGTGCCATTTCCCAATCTATCAAAAAAAGTAAAAGTAAAAATCGGCAATATAGAAGTTGACCTCTATTCATAAGTTATTGCACAGAAACTGTTAGCTTCCGTCAACCACTCGCCGAACTTCACCATTCTAATAGCAATGGAATTAAACTCAACATATAATCCAGAATCTACTTGTTTCAGACAGACCAATGGACAGATAAAGCAATGACTGTATGCTCCCAAATATTTTAAGGGAGCATAATAAAGGAAAAGGTTCTTGAAGGGTTGAAATTGACTCTATGATTTTAAAGTTTTTTCAATCAAGCCGATATATAATGTTCTGTATGACAACAAAATAAGTGAAACTGCAAGCATCTGCTCACCGATGATACCCACGCCCAAATACTTGACGGTAAACAGGAATTTGTTGAGTGATGAATCTGAAAACGCATCACACGGTATAGCTGACTTATATAAACCCTGAAACCAAATTTCAGAAATCTTTGTAATGTAGTTCCTGCGAAAGATGCGACAAAAAATATTCATGGGACGGATGGACTGACGGATGGACGGATGGGTGGATGGACTGACAGACAGAGGTAAAACAGTATACCCCCACTTTTTTAAAGCGGGGGTATAATAAGCTGATTTACAAAGTAAACAAAAACTGATATCATGTGGAACCTGCTCATAAAGCTAAACTATATTTTGTATATGTTTAGGTCATGGATTCCAGTAAACCCATACCATGTGGAAAATTGTCAAATGGAAATATAAGCAATAAAGCTGTCATCTGGTGTTACAACTGTGATGAAGGATATTGTTCAAAATGAGACTCTGTATAATGACTTTTGAGATTAAACGTCTGGAGGAATTGTAAAAATAGATTATATATTACATATGTCCATATCATACCTATGGTATGAACTGTTGAACTACTAGTCCTTGAGGATACCATTCACCCAGAATCAGGTGCTTCAACACTAGAATTTAAAATTGTATGTTTTATTTTGAGAATTTCCTGTTCATAAATTAGGCAGTGAACACAAAACTTGTGTCATAAATTTTTATTGACTATTGCCACTGTAATGTCAGAAACCCCAACACTATTTATTTACCTGGTAAGGAGGGCAGATCTTGTTCACTGTAGGTTCTACTATCCAGTAAACCCTGTCCAGACTGGTTCCCATAGAAAGGATTGTCCATAGAGAACAATTCATGAATAATAGTTCCTACAGCCCAGAGGTCAGCTTTACTATAATCTAACCAGATATCTCTACCTGGAATGGCTGTCGAAATCTGTAATCATAATGGAAAAGATTTATTAGAGAAATGATGTTGTTTATTGTAGCAAAGTGGCAAACTATCAAATGTGAAGACATCTCTGTTTTTACGATTTTGTTTTTACATATCATTTACTGTCAATTCAGAATTTTTAACATGCATTTATTTTTGTGACTGTTGTATATATAATACAATAAATGTGGGATTAATTATTGCGATTTCAGGAAATACTGAAATTGAGCAATGCAAAAAAATTCAAAATGTGAGTTTTTCAATTTTTGAAGTCATTGAAAACAAATTGCATAAATTTATGAATTCATAGCATTGGAATTTTTGGTGTTTTTTTTAAGTCAATTTCCGATTTATAAACTGACTTTACAACTGAATACCTGTTTTTCCTTTCCTAGTAAAGGTATCAGCAATATTTTGATGTAAAAAGCTATGGCAATTGGCTCCTAAACCGGAAATTTTTAAGTAGCAGTGCCAAGTGAAGTATATGGTATAAGTTTGACATATCGTTTTTTCTCATAATTGATTTGTAATTCAACTGATGCTTCAAAAAAGACTATATAGTAAGGAAATCATTCATCCTTTACTTCTCAATCTAGCTCTATATGCACCAAACTTGTAACCTTGAAAGGGAAGTAACTCATGTCAAAATATCATTTGATATGATATGATTTACAAAAAAAATATTTCCAAAACAAATGGATTACAGTGTTTGCCTAATGTTATAGAAATTAAACAGCTGAAGCAAGGGAATACTTCATAAATGTTTTAAACACCAAAGAAAGTTAGTAGCTTATCATTTTTTATCTTGCATTTATAAGGTAATGCTCCTTACCTCAGGTGCCATTAATGAACAGTTGCCTCCCCTGTCTACATCAGATGTAAAGTATGGAAGTTTCTGTTCAAATTCTGTGTCTGCCAAACAACATCCAAAGTCTCCAATTACAAGCTTGGGTACTGATTGTTCTGTCATATCAATAAAGATTTTTATCATAATGATGAGAATTGTTGGTTTAAATGATAAATACAACCTTACATTACGGTTACCCCTGAGCTAATATATACAGTCAAACCTGCGTATAAAGGTCACCCTTGAGTCAATATAAAATGACCTTATAAGAATGGTGACCTTTGAACTGAGGTTAAAAATGCATAGGTATTAAAACAGTGGGACAAGAAGAGGTGATCTGTCTGGTTTTCACCTAATAGAGGTAATTTTTATAGCAGGTTTGACTATGAAAAAAGGTAATGTAGGACATGAATATATGAGTCAGCAATCCAGCAATACAATAAAATGAGAGAAAAAAAGACATCTAAAAATAAAAATGTTTTAATCCATTATATAATATGTCAATGTATTATAGAAATTGATCCATTAAGTCTACATGTCATAATCATATCAAGTCCACATGTCATCATTATATTAAACAATATAAAGGGAATTGAAATACAAATGTGTGTTGTTGACAATATGTTAAAGCTCCAATTAAGGGGTGTAACCCTAGAAAACTCTTAGGGACAACATATTCCGTTACAAATAAAAATAAGGATCAATAATGAACCAGCTTACTCTATATATAAAGCAGCAAAAAGGGAGATGAGGACTTTCAGGTCAAAGGGGCATAACTCTGATCAAATAAAGCTGTAAAATAGGCAGCAAATACAGCACTTTATAAGGTAAGAAAGATAAAGGTCACACATCTGTATATATCACACAAATGTAATTAGACACACGACTTAAGAATAGGGAAAACAACCATCCTTACACTTATGAAAATAAGGCCAAAAAAGTTATTCAAAACATGTGCATTTTTCTCAATTACTGCATATTTTTCAGAGGACACTAAAAAAGGCATTAAAGTTAATAATTTTAATAACATTATTCAAGTCAAAATAGATGTGCTTTAGAAAATGAGCAGTCAACATAATAGGATTCAACACATTTTTTTCTAGAGCTTAGTGATGTGTAAACTGAACTGTCTAACTCACAGACTAAATAAATGTCCAAAGGAGTCTGCGCCGTTTACACATTACTCTAGAAATCCTTATTCAAATTCTCAACCCAAACATCTGATATATTTTTCTTTCAACTTTGACTTGCTTTGAACCCCAGAATTCCATTCATGAGTATCACACATAAATATTACACTGTAAAATTGACATAGTGTTTACAAAGAAGTTTCGGCAACATGGTAGATATTAAAGTGAAAGCCAGGGGAAAAAAATCAAACAGACCAATCACACATTTAAGTATTTTTAGATATGCAAATCATATAAGAATTTATTAATGTATACTTTTGCATACATACCCGAATATTCCAAAAACAAGTTGTCAGTTTTAATATCTCTATGAGCTATCCCATGATTCCCTAGGTGGACAATTCCCTCCAAAAGCTGAGTCAGTAGGAGACATCTTGTTCTTATGTCTGGTTTATGTTGTTCTAAATATTCTCTCAATGTCATATCATACCTAAAAGCAATAGTATATATTGAAAAAGAAAGAAGAAAAAAAGTGTGGAAAGCTGATTTACCGGATTGACGGATGGACAGACGGACAGATGGACAGACGGACAGACGGACGGAGTGCAAACCTAAAGTCCCCTTCGACTTCGTCGGTAGGGGACTAAAAAGAAGTACATGTATGTAGGAATTGTGAACAAGTTTTGGAAAACTTTAATAAATCTGTCTCCCCATTATATTGTAAGTACAAATAAATATATTTTGCCAATTATCAGAGAAATTTCCTGTTATTTCTTTCAATGTAAAATTCAATTTTATTAGAAGTCAATAGTTGAATAGTGTGTCAGAGAATATATTTTATTAAGTCACTTCACTGAAAACAAAGCAAATCTTTTTACTTTACAAAATAAACATATTATAAATATGTCTTATGATTGAGTTAAGCCATTTCAATTGATATTTTATAGTGTGTCTTTCTATGTTGTGATGTTACACTATTGTTTCAGATAAGGGTGAAGGTTTGGTACTATTAAAACGTTTAAATCCGCTACAGTTGTTTGCACCTGTCCTAAGTCAGGATTCTGATGTTCAGTAGTTGTCGTTTGTTGATGTGGTTCATAAGTGTTTCTCGTTTCTCGTTTTTTATATAGATTAGACCGTTGGTTTTCCCGTTTGAATGGTTTTACACTAGTAATTTTTGGGGCCCTTTATAGCTTGCTGTTCAGTGTGAGCCAAGGCTCCGTGTTGAAGACCGTACCTTGACCTATAATGGTTTACTTTTATAAATTTTGACTTGGATGGAGAGTTGTCTCATTGGCACTCATACCACATCTTCTTATATCTAATTAACCAGTACAATGTTTGGCTGAAAAGTAAACACCAGTATACTCTTACATTTTATATTTAATTTTGTAAAATATGTGTTATAGAAAAAAGGAAACAAAACTGAAATGCAAAACTATAACCTTTTTTTGTCCTTTACATTAATTGGGTAATTTCATAAAATATAATTGCATTTAAAAATATTCACTATTAAAAAAAAAAATTGAGATTATTTAGACTAATTTATGTACTTTTAATAATTTCAACTTTATAAAACAAATACAACTTCATTCATGTATATGAACTTTAGACATTTGCATTACAAAAAGTTGTCTATGTTTCCCATCAATTTAACTATGCTGTGTTTTCTCCTTTAAGATGTTAGATTTTCAAATAAAGTCTGAACTTATCAGATGAAGAACAGCAATAATAGCACTGTTAGTTAGTTTTTGAAGCATTTCTCATTCACTTCCTCTACATGAGCTTTTTCATTACCATATAACAGGGTAGGTGTCACTAGTGGAGCTGACTCTTCCAGAGCACCTCCAGAGTTCAACCCTGGTTTTTGATGGAGTTTGTGTTGCCCAATCTTTTAATTTACTGTGTAGCATTTTGTGAGCTTGTTCTTTCTGCTGATATTTTTTTTGCCCATTACCTATTTTTCCTTGATTATGGCTTTAGATTACTTTATAGGTGTAAAAGTGATAAAAATTTCGGCATCAAATTCTAGACACTGGCATTGCTAACCCTGTCATCTTGAAATCAATTATTTACATTAGTCCAGGGGATTCTACAATATTAAGACTTCTAGTTAAAATCGTATATTTCTCAACTTCAGAAGTTCTAATTTGAAATGTTTGTGAATGAACTTACTTCTTCATCACAATGTACATTGTCATATTACGTCCTAATCCACTTGAATACAGCCTCTTTGGTAATGCAGCTGGATAGGTTTCCATGGCAACTGATAACTGAGGCACGTTGAAGGGATCAACAAATGCACCAATCATGTCGACAATGTTTGGATGCTGTGGTAATGATTTTAGTCTTACTCTGTTTCTGTAAAGAAAACAATGACAATGAAAATTTTGCTAATTTAAATGTGTTTGCTTCTGTAAACTAGAGGCTCCAAAAAGCCTGAATTGCTTATATGGTCAAGACATGCCATATTGATTTTTACATCAAAATCAGGACCAAAAAAAATATTTAAAAAAATTTCCATTTATCTTTGATCAATTTTGATGTTTACAGTTTTTGTCTTATCTATATAAGTTTTCAAGATGACAAACATTTTTAAATTTGTTCAAAAATCTCCATTTAAGGGCAATAACTCCTCTAAGGAGTCAATAGCTTCAGTCACATCAGCGTTTATGTAGATCTTGTTTTCTTATCATTTCTGCTGTCATCAGTTTCTGTTAATCTATAATAGTTTTCAAGTTAAATAAGGAAAAATTATAAAATTGTCCAAAATCATCATTTACAAGCAGTAATTCCCAAAAGGAGTCATCTGATAATTTTGGGACATGTGGAAAGAAGGTTGATCTTGACATTCTGAACATTTTCACCCATTAAATTTTCTCTATTTTTTATGGTTTACAAGATATTGGAAAACTTCCTGCATTTGCCCCCTATGTTCTAATTTTCATTTCCCCCATTCTGGTATCTTTTTCCTTATTTTAAACTATGTACCAATATAAAAATCCAGAGTCGAGAAAGGAAAAACATGGTTCAATTGAAATTTGGTGCAATGGACAATTATCATTTACTGGTTTGAAAATAAATTTTAGCAAACAAACAATATGGTATTACATAAAATTGTTACCAGAACCCTGTCTTGTTTGTGACAGTTGCTGTCAGTGTTAACATGTAATTTTGACTGCAAAATACTAAGATAAATTATCAGTAAAATATGGAAAATAAACAAAACAATAATACAATTTTTTCAGATGCTAATTCTTGATCATGAAGAAGCTTCTGTCCAAGTTTTGTAAAATTCCATGAAGTACCTGATGTTGTAAAAATACTTTCCTTTTGTCTGAACCAAAATGTTGACAACATAGACAGCGGAATATATGATCATTACAACTTCCATCACAGGCAAGAGTGGCACATGTATATATTAAGTAATAACAATATGCTGTGAATTGGTATCAATCCTATGTACCAGTCATCTATATAATATGATGGTAGATAGGTAGAACTGGCACCCTGTTATCTACTGAAACCTCTCCTATTCACTAAGACCCCTTACTGTTAGATGGGTAGAACTGGCACTTTGTTACCTAACTGAAGTACCATGAAATCCCCTTACTAGTAGATGGTGGACTAGTTCTCTGTTACCTGCTGTTACCTACCTGAAGTACCATGAATCCCCTAACTGGTAGATGGGAACTCTAGCAGGGACAGTCTCCTTTTCCATGGCCTTCATTATAGAATCAGCTTTTGATTCAACCTCATAGTTAAACATCATTTTTATAGCCAGGTTATACTTGATTGGTGTGGTATCTTCTATTGACCCTTTAAAAAAAAGACAACTCTACATAATTATTTTATTATGACTTAAATCATGACAGTATGGTCATTTGGAATGATTTTGGTTTGATTTTTGGTGTTTTAACGCTACTTTTAAGCACCGCTTTTGGGCTATTTAGTGACGGCCAGTTTTTATTGGTGGAGGAAGCTGGAATGCCCGGAGAAAACCACCGACCTTTGATAGGAAAACTGACAATCCTAGCCAATTAAAATTGGAGTCAAGTGCACCCGCATGAGCGGGGTTCGAACTCACAACCTCAGTGTTGACTGGCTAGTGATTACAGTAGTAACTACTTAAGACCACTCGGCCACCGAGGCCCTTTCATTTGGAATGTGTCGAAATTCTACAATGGGTGTCAGAAGTAAATGGACATTGCAACCCATAGAAAAAACTGAAAATGTCTTGCCATGTATGTCCAGGCTTTTTAAAGCTGATTACTGTATATGGTAAGGGTTTTGATCATCGTTGAGGCCATACAGTAATCTAAAGTTGCTTTAATCCATGTCATTTGGACTACAGGTAGTGGATAATTGTCTCATTGGCATCTTATAACATCTCCTGATTTTATAATATCAATTAAAATTGTAATTAATTATAATCTTTGTATTTCATTTTTATAGAAAAGAATAAAATGCTTCGCTGGGCGCAGCTTGATACGACCGCAGAGGTCGAACCCTGAACAGTTGGGGCAAGTATGGACACAACATTCAAGCTTGATACAGCTCTGAATTTGGATTGTGATTAGATATTTGACACAGCATAGGTTTCTGACACAGAAAGAATGTGGTCTAAGAACTTGATTTTTTTTAATTTACCTATTATGGTCCAATGTCCAAAATCAAAATACATGGTTAGATTCAGCATATCAAAGAACCCCATATATTCAATTTTTGTTGAAATCAAAAAAAGTTTAATTTTGGACCCCAACTTGGACAAACTTGAAAACTGGGCCCATAATCAAAAATCTAAACACATGTTTAGATTCAGCATATCAAAGAACCCCAAGAATTCAATTTTTGTTAAAATCAAACTAAGTTTAATTTTGGACCCTTTGGACCTTAATGTAGACCAATTTAAAAAACGGGACCCAAAATTAAAAATCTAAATACACGGTTAGATTTGGCATATCAAAGAACCCCAATAATTCATTTTTGATGAAATCAAACAAAGTTTAATTTTGGACCCTTTTGACCTCAATATGAACCAATTTGATAGCGGGGCCCACAAATAAAAAATCTAAATACATGGTTAGATTCAGCATATCAAAGAACCCTATATATTCAATTTTTGTTGAAATCAAAAAAAGTTAAATTTTGGACCCCAACTTGGACCAACTTGAAAACTGGGCCCATAATCAAAAATCTAAACACATGTTTAGATTCAGCATATCAAAGAACCCCAAGAATTCAATTTTTGTTAAAATCAAACTAAGTTTAATTTTGGACCCTTTGGACCTTAATGTAGACCAATTTAAATAAAATGCTCCCACAGGGCGCAGCTTGATACGACCGCAGAGGTCGAACCCTGAACAGTTGGGGCAAGTATGGACACAACATTCAAGCTTGATACAGCTCTGAATTTGGACATTCAAATATTATGGTCCAATATCCAAAATCTAAATACATGGTTAGTTTCAGCATATCAAAGAACCCCAAGAATTCAATTTTTGATGAAATCAAACAAAGTTTAATTTTGGACCCTTTTGACCTCAATGTGGACAAAGTTGATAACGGGGCCCAAAAATCAAAAATCTAAATACATGGTAAGATTCAGCATATCAAAGAACCCCATATATTCAATTTTTGTTGAAATCAAACAAAGTTTAATTTTGGACCCCAGTTTGGACCAACTTGAAAACTGGGCCAAAAATCTAATATCTAAATACATGTTTAGATTCAGCATATCAAAGAACCCCAAGATCTCAATTTCTGTTAAAATCAAACTAAGTTTAATTTTGGACCCTTTGGACCTTAACAGGCCTCTACAATAACTTTTTTTTTCAACTTGTCCAGTAGGACAAGTACAACCCAAAACTTACTTGTCCAAATGAAATTGTAACTTGTCCAAAAAAAATCTTAATAATAACCTTTTTGGCATTTTAAGTTGATTCAAGAAACAAAATGAATTAAAACAATAGAACAGAATTTGATTTATATCTTTTGAAATACTTTTCAAAAATATGAGTCGAGAACAACTGAATCTAGTCATGTCACAGGGCTTAGGTTCTAGTTTTCATCAATGCCAAAGTCTCATCAAACTCTGCACATGAGGCACCGTCTGATAGGCCTGTCAATGTACACTCATTGGATTTGTATCCTGGTTGTTTAAGTTGAAAAAAGATTATTCCAATGCAATCAATAAAAAAAAGAAGATGATGTATGATTGCCAATGAGACAACTCTGTGCAAGAGACCAAATGACACAGAAATTAACAACTATAGGTCACCGTATTGCAAGTATTGTTTCTTTCTACATATGATCAAATATGATTTTGTGAATTCTATGGTAAATAATTTCTTCATTTTTATTTAAAATAAAATGCTTCGCTGGGCGCAGCTTGATACGACCGCAGAGGTCGAACCCTGAACAGTTGGGGCAAGTATGGACACAACATTCAAGCTTGATACAGCTCTGAATTTGGATTGTGATTAAATATTTGACACAGCATAGGTTCTGACACAGAAAGAATGTGGTCTAAGAACTTCAATTTTTTCAATTTACCTATTATGGTCCAATGTCCAAAATCAAAATACATGGTTAGATTCAGCATATCAAAGAACCCCATATATTCAATTTTTGTTGAAATCAAACAAAGTTTAATTTTGGACCCCAACTTGAACAAACTTGAAAACTGGTCCCATAATCAAAAATCTAAACACATGTTTAGATTCAGCATATCAAAGTACCCCAAGAATTCAATTTTTGTTAAAATCAAACTAAGTTTAATTTTGGACCCTTTGGACCTTAATGTACACCAATTTAAATAAAATGCTTCGCTGGGCGCAGCTTGATACGACCGCAGAGGTCGAACCCTGAACAGTTGGGGCAAGTATGGACACAACATTCAAGCTTGATACAGCTCTGAATTTTGATTGTGATTAAATATTTGACACAGCATAGGTTTCTGACACAGAAAGAATGTGGTCTAAGAACTTCAATTTTTTTAATTTACCTATTATGGTCCAATGCCCAAAATCAAAATACATGGTTAGATTCAGCATATCAAAGAAACCCCATATATTCAATTTTTGTTGAAATCAAACAAAGTTTAATTTTGGACCCCAACTTGGACAAACTTGAAAACTGGTCCCATAATCAAAAATCTAAACACATGTTTAGATTCAGCATATCAAAGTACCCCAAGAATTCAATTTTTGTTAAAATCAAACTAAGTTTAATTTTGGACCCTTTGGACCTTAATGTAGACCAATTTAAAAAACGGGACCCAAAATTAAAAATCTAAAAACACGGTTAGATTTGGCATATCAAAGAACCCCAATAATTCAATTTTTGATGAAATCAAACAAAGTTTAATTTTGGACCCTTTTGACCTCAATATGAACCAATTTGATAGCGGGCCCACAAAATAAAAAATCTAAATACATGGTAAGATTCAGCATATCAAAGAACCCCATATATTCAATTTTTGTTGAAATCAAACAAAGTTTAATTTTGGACCCCGATTTGGACCAACTTGAAAACTGGGCCCATAATCAAAAATCTAAATACATGTTTAGATTCAGCATATCAAAGAACCCTAAAAATTCAATTTTTGTTAAAATCAAACAAAGTTTAATTTTGGACCCTTTTGACCTTAATGTAGACCAATTTGAAAACGGAACCAAAAATTAAGAATCTAAATACACGGTTAGATTCGGCATATCAAAGAACCCCAATAATTCAATTTTTGATGAAATCAAACAAAGTTTAATTTTGGACCCTTTGAACCTCAATGTGGACCAATTAAAAAACGGGGCCCAAAATCCAAAAACTTAATACTTGGTTAGATTCAGCATATTAAAGAACCCCAAGAATTCAAGAATAAAACCCCATTGAAATTGATCAAGAAATAAGAAATTTATACGAAGTATCTTCTTTTGCACAATACTGTGCAATTGAATATTTCTTGCTATTGTGCAATACTGTACAATTGACAATTTCTTGCTATTGCGCATTATTGTGCTATTGGATATTTCTTGCTATTGCGCAATACTGTGCAATTGAAGATTTCTTGCTCTTGCGCAATACTGTGCAATTGAAGATTTCTTGCAATTGTGCAATACTGTGCAATTGAAAATTTCTTGCTATTGCACAATACTTATTATATAATAATTTACACATCCTGTTTGGTGTGTATCTCCTACCATATCATTATTATTTGCTTTTAAATATTAATCAGAAATAACCAACTTAAAATGGAAAATTTTAAAAGAAAAAAAAAAAGGAAAAAAAGAAAAAAAAAGAAAAAAAAAAATCCCCCCCCCAAATTTTTGAACCCCCTTATGATTCATCACCCCCAAACTCAATCCCAGCCTTCCCTTTGTGGTATGGTACCTTGCAGTACAATTTCAGAGAGATCCATACACTTGAACACAAGTTATTGTCTGGAAACTAGAAAAATGCTTATTTTTGGCCCCTTTTTGGCCCCCTATTCCTAAACGTTTCGGGCAATTAGCCACAAACTCAATTCCAGCTTTCCCTTTGTGATATGGAACCTTGTAGTACAATTTCAGAAATATCCAAACACTTACACACAAGTTATTGTCATGAAACTAGAAAAATGCTTGTTTTTTGCCCCTTTTTTGGCCCCTAATTCCTAAAATTTTGAGGCAATTACCCCAAAAATCAATTACAGCCTTCCCTTTGTGATATGGAACCTTGTGGTACAATGTCAGAGAGATCCATACACTTACACACAAGTTATTGTCTGGAAGTTACAAAAATGCTTATTTTTGGCCCCTTTTTGGCCCCTAATTCCTTAACTGTTAGTACCATAACCCCCAAAATCAATCCCAACCTTCCTTTCGTGGTATTGAACCTTATGGTAAAATTTCATGGAGATCCATTCACTTAAACTAAAGTTAGAGTGCGAAAACCAATGTGTCTTCGGACGACGCCGGACGACGCCAGACGACGACGACGACGACGACGACGCCAACGTCATACCAATATACGACCAAAAAATTTTCAATTTTTGCGGTCGTATAAAAACGGGACCCAAAATTAAAAATCTAAAAACACAGTTAGATTTGGCATATCAAAGACCCCCAATAATTCAATTTTTGATGAAATCAAACAAAGTTTAATTTTGGACCCTTTTGACCTCAATATGAACCAATTTGATAGCGGGGCCACAAAATAAAAAATCTAAATACATGGTAAGATTCAGAATATCAAAGAACCCCATATATTCAATTTTTGTTGAAATCAAACAAAGTTTAATTTTGGACCCCAACTTGGACCAACTTGAAAACTGGTCCCATAATAAAAAATCTAAACACATGTTTAGATTCAGCATATCAAAGAACCCCAAAAATTCAATTTTTGTTAAAATCAAACTAAGTTAAATTTTGGACCCTTTGGACCTTAATGTAGACCAATTTAAAAAACGGGACCCAAATTTAAAAATCTAAATACACAGTTAGATTTGGCATATCAAAGAACCCCAATAATTAAATTTTTGATGAAATCAAACAAAGTTTAATTTTGGACCCTTTTGACCTCAATATGAACCAATTTGATAGCGGGCCCACAAATAAAAAATCTAAATACATGGTAAGATTCAGCATATCAAAGAACCCCATATATTCAATTTTTGTTGAAATCAAACAAAGTTTAATTTTGGACCCCAATTTGGACCAACTTGAAAACTGGGCCAAAAATCTAAAATCTAAATACATGTTTAGATTCAGCATATCAAAGAACCCCATATATTCAATTTTTGTTGAAATCAAACAAAGTTTAATTTTGGACCCCAACTTGGACCAACTTGAAAACTAAGCCCATAATCAAAAATCTAAACACATGTTTAGATTCAGCATATCAAAGAACCCCAAGAATTCAATTTGTGTTAAAATCAAACTAAGTTTAATTTTGGATCCTTAGGACCTTAATTTAGACCAATTTAAAAACGGGACCCAAAATTAAAAATCTAAATACACGGTTAGATTTGGCATATCAAAGAACCCCAATAATTCAATTTTTGATGAAATCAAACAAAGTTTAATTTTGGACCCTTTTGACCTCAATATGAACCAATTTGATAGCGGGTCCACGAATAAAAAATCTAAATACATGGTTAGATTCAGCATATCAAAGAACCCCAAGAATTCAATTTTTGATGAAATCAAACAAAGTTTAATTTTGGACCCTTTTGACCTCAATGTGGACAAAGTTGATAAAGGGGCCCAAAAATCAAAATACATGGTTAGATTCAGCATATCAAAGAACCCCATATATTCAATTTTTGTTGAAATCAAACAAAGTTTAATTTTGGACCCCAATTTGGACCAACTTGAAAACTGGGCCAAAAATCAAAAATCTAAATACATGTTTAGATTCAGCATATCAAAGAACCCCATATATTCAATTTTTGTTAAAATCAAACAAAGTTTAATTTTGGACCCTTTGGACCTTAATGTAGACCAATTTGAAAACTGGACCCAAAATTAAAAATCTAAATACACGGTTAGATTCGGCATAACAAATAAATAAATGTGGTCAAAGATTTTACAAATCGAATGCGCCATACTGTGCAATTAAAGATTACTTCTTGAAATTTTCAATATTTGAAATTTGAAAAAAAAAATATTTGAAGAATAATTCTTTTTAATTTCTGAAATCTGAAATGAGAAAAAATTGACCCCCCACAATTTCTTTTTATCCCCCCCCCTTTTTTCCCCCAAAAAATTCTTTCCCTCAAGATATGGTCATAATCTCAATTCAAATTTCCAATGGAGTTTGCAACCATAATTACCCATTTAAATTTACCATAGTGCTAACTTAATCTATTTTATAATAGAATTTAAAATATAGTGTCAAATCTTTCATATGGATTTTTTTGTAAAAAAAAAAAGATGCAACATTTGCAGATATTTTTACTGGTCTTCCTTTATAAATATGCATTTCTTTAAACATAATTTATAAGCAGTGTAAGGGAAGTAACCAAAACGTTGTATTTGGATTACCTCCCTTACACTGTTTTAAATTATCTTAATTGTTCATTAACCATTACTTCATACATAATTTAAAAGCAGTGTAAGGGAGATAATTTCAATGATGTATTTGATTTATCTCCATTACACTGCTTTAAATTATGTTTTGTACTAAAGTATTTGTCCATTAACCAGGACAACCTTGTTTTTCCCGCTTTTTTGCCCCTAATTCCTAAACAGTTTGAGCCATAACCCCCCAAAGCAAATCCTAACCATCCCTTTGTGGTATGGAAACTTGTAGTATAATTTCAGAGAGATCCATACACCGTTCCACAGTTATTGTCTGGAAACTAGAAAATGCTTATTTTTGGCCCTTAATTCCTTAACTGTTGGTACCATAACCCCCAAAATCAATCCCCACCTTCCTTTTGTGGTATTAAACCTTATGGTAAAATTTCAAAGAGATCCATTCACTTAAACTAAAGTTAGAGTGCGAAAACCAATGTGTCTTCGGACAACGACGGCACCAATGTCATACCAATATACGAACGCAAAAATTTTTTGCGGTCGTATAAAAATAGAAGCACATGTATAAAATTCAACGATCATTAACATCAATTCCAAAAAAAATAACTAATTTACAAGTAATGTAGTATTTTATATAGCAATATAGAAGCCTCAAATTACAGACATTACAAAATAATTGAGTTGAAAAAATTGACACATATGAATCCGTACCTGTTCCAATTCCTTCCTCATCAATAAATGACCACTTATCACATTCCTCCTCAGATTCTGTATTATCACTCTCTATATCACTAGATTCAGTTGAAATAGACATACTCTCCACAGAAATTTCATCATCAAAGTTATGCTGGTTTAGGGTCCCCTCTCTGCTCTCAATGAAGGAAAAGCTTTCATTTATTGAAAAACTTGACATAGTTGTCTCCCCTTCACTGATGTCAATTACAGAAAATGATTGGCTGGGTTCTTCCTCCAGATATTCTTCATTAGGTGGGTACCATTTATCTTCTTCTTCATCTTCAACAACCATAGATTGTAAATTAACAACTTTTTCAAAATCTGAAAAGAATTGGAAAAGGGAGATAATCCAAAATTACAATTTAGAATCTATAGAAAACATTTAATAGCATATTGTAAAGAGCCTTTACATTGACTTCATGTCTTTTGGTTGTTGTCTTAATATTACTGTCTTGACATATGCCCCCCATATCCTTTAATTCATATTTATCTCATATTCAAATGCTTTTCATTCACATCTGGTTTAAAGATCTGAATTCAATTGCAATTGCAAGTACTTCATATTCAGCAAATTTAAAGCGTTATGGGTTTGACTGAAAATTAGACCTTGCTTGAAATAAGATGCATGTACAAAATCTGCCAAAATAGCCTCGTTGTAACAAGGCTCTGTCCATAATGTAGTTTCCCATCAAGATGTCTTTTACAAAGATAAAATGTCTTTATGGGAAGGTTTGACTCACAATTAGCTATACCAAAAAATAACGTGTAAAATTACCTTTTTAAAACCAATTTGTCAATTCAACATGTTAATGATGTCATAATGACATCACACACTAAAATGTCTGCATTATATTTTCCTATTCAATTTTAACTTTTTCTGCAATTTCAGTGGATACATGTACTCCGCCTTCAACTAAAAAGCCAGATGTTATACAAAAAGACATTGATAAACAATCATACCTGAAGAATTATCAAATTTTAGGGTCACCTCCTTTCCATCTTTTTGTCGAGCTTCAAACACCACAGCATTACATCCTTTACCAATAACTTGACCCAGGTCAAATGAGTCTAGGGACAGTTGCTGTATAATTGGACTGGTCTTGATCTGGTTCTGTAGTACTTCCTGTAATTACATAAATAATGTTACAAAAATTTATTGCAAATAATAATGATGAATGGTTGGTTTTTAATATCCAATGGCAAATACGTTTCAAATTTTTTCATGTCAGGGTTTTTTATAGCCGACTATACAGTATGGGTTTTTCTCATTGTTGAAGGCTGTATGGTTGCCTATAATTGCTTGCATCCACTTCATTTGAACTTTAGTAGATAGTTGTCTCATTGGCAATCATACCCAATCTTCTTATTTTTATATTACATGTAAATAGTGTTGTTCAATAGATAATAAAATGCTCCGCTGGGCCCAGCTTGATACGAACGCAGAGGTCGAACCCTGAACAGTTGGCGCAAGTATGGACACAACATTCAAGCTTGATACAGCACTGAATTTGGATTATAATTAAATATTTGACACAGCATAGGTTTCTGACACAGAATGAGTGTGGTCTAAGAACTTAAAAATTTTTAATTTACCTATTCAAACCATATCATTATTATTTGCTTTTATATATAAATCAGAAATAACCAATTTAAAATGGAAAATTTTAAAGAAAAAAAAAAAGAAAAAAAAAGGGAAAATATAATCCCTCCCCCAAATTAATTGAACCCCCTTATGATTCATCACCCCCAAACCCAATCCCAGTCTTCCCTTTGTGGTATGGTTCCTTGCAGAACAATTTCAGAGAGATCCATACACTTGAACACAAGTTATTGTCTGGAAACTAGAAAAATGCTGTTTTAAGGCCCCTTTTTGGCCCCAAATTCCTAAACGTTTAGGGCGATTACCCCCAAACTCAAACCCAGTTTCCCTTTGTGACATGGAACCTTGTAGTACAATTTCATAAAGATCCATACACTAACACACAAGTTATTGTCCTGAAACTAGAAAAATGCTTTGTTTTTTGCCCCTTTTTGGCCCCTAATTCCTAAAATTTTGAGGCAATTACCCCCAAAATCAATCCCAGCTTTCCCTTTGTGATATGGAACCTTGTTGTACAATGTCAGAGAGATCCATACACTAACACACAAGTTATGTCTGGAAGTTACAATAAAATGCTCCGCTGGGGTGCAGCTTGATATGACCACAGAAGTCGAACCCTGAACAGTTGGCGCAAGTATGGACACAACATTCAAGCTTGATACAGCACTGAATTTGGATTGTAATTAAATATTTGACACAGCATAGGTTTCTGACACAGAATGAATGTGGTCTAAGAACTTAAAAATTTTTAATTTACCTATTCAAACCATATCATTATTATTTGCTTTTATATATAAATCAGAAATAACCAATTTAAAATGGAAAATTTTAAAGAAAAAAACGAAAAAAAAAAAACCCCAAAATTTTTTGAACCCCCTTATGATTCATCACCCCCAAACTCAATCCCAGCCTTCCCTTTGTGGTATGGTACCTTGCAGTACAATTTCAGAGAGATCCATACACTTGAACACAAGTTATTGTCTGGAAACTAGAAAAATGATTATTTTTGGCCCCTTATTCCTAAACGTTTTGGGCAATTACCCCAAAACTCAATTCCAGCTTTCCCTTTGTGATATGGAACCTTGTGGTACAATGTCAGAGAGATCCATACACTTACACACAAGTTATTGTCATGAAACTAGAAAAATGCTTGTTTTTTTCCCCTTTTTGGCCCCTAATTCCTTAAATTTGGAGGCAATTACCCCCAAAATCAATCCCAGCATTCCCTTTGTGATATGGAACCTTGTGGTATAATGTCAGAGAGATCCATACACTAACACACAAGTTATGTCTGGAAGCTACAAAAATGCTTATTTTTGGCCCCTTTTTAGCCCCTAATTCCTTAACTGTTGGTACCATAACCCTCAAAATCAATCCCCACCTTCCTTTTGTGGTATTGAACCTTATGGTAAACTTCATAGAGATCCATTCACTTAAACTAAAGTTAGAGTGCAAAAACCAATGTGTCTTCAGACGATGATGAGGACCTACGACGACGACACCAATGTCATACCAATAAAAATTGCAACAAATGATGGGTTACAATTGGTTACCAAGATTTCCCAAGATCCTTCACTTTCAGTGAGCATAAAATAAAATTTCAAGCGAACTCCATAAATTTTGACGGACCAAACTTCTGAATAATATAAATCAAACATCAGAAATTCAGCAAATTTTACAGAGTTCAGTTTGAAAATTTATTTCAGACTCTCCGAAAGTGAAGGAATTGGGAAATCTGGATAACCATTGACAAAAGAAGTAAGTCATGGACACTTGGATGGAATTGTTACTTATTTTATCATTACTTTTGGATATTTTTGGAAATATTTTGCACTAACAAGCACACAAAAGTAAAAAAATTTTATATATGCAAATTTTCTTGATGTTGAAGAAATCTGGTCTCAAAGTTGAGGACAAAATTTCCTCTCAAAGTCCAGACGGAAAAAATGGCTGGCTTCGTTGTTATGATGTCACAGCAAAAAATTAAAATACTAGCCTTTCAAGATATCGATGCCATAATTATTTGGCCTGGTATCTTATCAGATGCCAAAGCAACTTAATTCTAACAGGTGCAAAACAACTCAGACTGTCTATGAAGACAACTCAGATAGTCAATAAGTCAACTGGGACCCTCTATAATGCCAACTTGGACAACATTTCAAAGGAGAGATTTGACAATATAATTAACAAGCATTCTGAGAGTATCGCATGGCAATACATAGTCCCCCTACCGGTTAAAAATTCATTGTACTGGAACAAAATGCTAACTTGATCTATAACTTGTCATGGCGTAAACTATATAACGAATATCAAGTCAATACCTTCAAGCATGACAAAAAAAAGTATGGAAAACTGATTATTTAAGTAAATTTTCGAAGTCCAAGGACCATAACTCTGCACAAAATCATCAGATCGAAACAAAATTCAAACTTGATCTGTAACTTGTCATGATAAAACTATATACCAATTATCAAATCAATATCTTCAAGCATGACGAAAAAAAGTGCGGAAAACTGATTATTTGAGTGAATTTTCTAAGTCCAAGGACCATAACTCTGCACAAAATCATCAGACTGGAACAAAATTCAAACTTGATCTGTAACTTGTCATGATAAAACTATATACCAATTATCAAATCAATATCTTCAAGCATGACGAAAAAAAGTGCGGAAAACTGATTATTTGAGTGAATTTTCTAAGTCCAAGGACCATAACTCTGCACAAAATCATCAGACTGGAACAAAATTCAAACTTGATCTGTAACTTGTCATGATAAAACAATACACCAAATATCAAATCAATATCTTCCAAGCACAAAAAAAAGTGTGGAAAACAGATTTGCCGGACTGACGGATGGACAGACAGACAGACGGAGTGCAAACCTAAAGTCCCCTTCGACTTCATCGGTAGGGGACTAGTTAAATGAGTGTCTACGAAAAAAACAACTTGCAATGGACTGTCTATGGCGACAATTTAGAGCTTGACATTTTGTGTAGACATGCATCTGTCTATTTTTGAAGATTGGGATAATTAAATTTACATTTATACTGATCATGACTTCACCTAAAATGCAATGAGATTATAATAAACAAATATAATAGATAATAAGTTCAATAAACGGATAGAGTAAGTTTGTTTACTGAATAAATAAAGATTTTTTTTTAATGAATCACCATGAATCATGATGAAGTAGAAATTCTAATTTACATTAACCCAATTATTTTGGGCATGGCACTTCATTTGCAAATGCAGCAAGGTACATGTATAAAGGATACTTTTATTTGAAATAAAACATTTTCAAAATCACAAACTCTGTGTTTTAACTTTGTCTGAGTTTGCATTATAGATGGTCCGAGTTGACTTTGTAGACTGTCCAAGTTGACCTATTGAGTCTTTTAAATGTTAAATAAAAAACAAAATAAACATGTAAGGATATTAAAATATAAAATAAAATGCTTCGCTGAGCGCAGCCTGATACGACTGCAGAGGTCGAACCCTGAACAGTTGGGGCAAATTTGGATATAATAATCAAGCTTGATACTGTCTGAATTTTGATTGTGATCAAATTTTTGACATAATATAGGTTTCTGACACAAAATAAATGTGGTAAAAGATCTTACAAATCTATTGCACAATACTGTGCAATTGAAGATTACTTCTTGATACTTTTACAAAATTTGAAATTTAAAAATTTTTGAAAAAATATGAATTCCTTAAAAATTGGAAACCCCCCCCACCCCGACTTTTGGAATCCCCCTTGGAGCAATTACCCCAAGACTCGATCCAATTCTTTCCTTTGTAGTATGGAACCTTGTAGTACAATTTCAGAGAGATCCATACACATCTAACACAAGTTATTGTTTGGAAACTAGAATAATGCATGTTTTTGGCCCTTTTTTGGCCCCTAATTCCTACGTTTGAGACAATTACCCCAAACTCAATCCCAGCCTTCCCTTTGTGATATGGAACCTTATGGTACAATATCAGAGAGATCCATACACTTACACACAAGTTATTGTCCGGAAACTACAAAAATTTTAGTTTTTGGACCCTTTTAGGCCCTTAATTCCTAAACTGTTTGCCCCATAACCCCTAATATGAATCCCAACCTTCTACTTGTGGTATTAAGCATTGTTGTACAATTTCAGAGCAATCAAAATACTTATACACAAGTTATTATCCTGAAACTAGAAAAATGTTTGTTTTGGGCCCCTAATTCCTAAACGATTGGGACCAAAATCCCCAAAATCAATCCCAACTTTCCTTTTGAGGTATTGAACCTTCTTAAAAAATTTCATAGAGATCCATTAACTTAAACTAAAGTTATGTCCGGAAACCAATGTGTCTTCGGACGACGATGCAGACGACGACATCATACCATTATACGATCCCAAAATTTTTTTTGCAGTCGTATAAAAATACAATAAATAACAAATTCAACAACAAAAATTAAAACATATTCATCCTAAACTTTGTTTTTAGGGTGTAAATTAATAAAGATAAGCAGAAATTTTAATCCACATTTAACAAATTATTTTGATAATTTTTGCAAATTCAGCAATGTATATTTTTATGTGAAACATAAAATTTAATCATTTATAATCATTTTCAAATGGTCTTAACTTTCTTTTTAAATACTTTGTCGGGTTGACATTATACAATGTAGATGGACCGATGGAGTTGGCCCAAGAATATTAAAAGTATCAAAATCAATAATTTTAGATTCTCTTACTCATATTATAAACCTTAGTTGATGTACATGTATATTTCCTGATATTCTAAAGTATGCAAAAGTAACTCCAATTTTCAAAGCCGGTAATAAGGATAATCCTAACAATTATCGTCCTATCTCAATTTTACCTACAGTGTCCAAGATTTTTCAGAGGACTGTGTTTAAACCATTATATTCATTTTTAACTAAATACAAACTACTAGTACAACAACAATCTGGATTTAGAGAAAAACACTCATGCCACACAGCACTTATCAAAATAATTGACAAATGGTTAGAAGAATTTGACAAAGGCAATTTCACTGCTGTTTTATTTTTAGATTTTAATATAGCATTTGATACTGTTAACCATAACATCTTATTATCGAAACTTAATTTATATAGATGTGATGATCACTCTGTTAAGTGGTTTTCGTCCTACCTTTCAAATAGATTGCAAAAGGTTAAAATTGGAACAACTGAATCAGGATACAATAATGTAACATTCGGGGTCCCACAAGGTTCCATATTAGGACCTTTATTATTCTTAATCTATATAAATGATCTCCCGTTTACATTAAAACACACAGAGTCTGAATTATATGTTGATGACACAACTTTGCATATATCGTCTAAATCTATTTCAAACTTAAACTCTTGTTTAAATAAAGACTTTGAAAACGTAATTGAATGGTGTGCTGAAAACAATATGATAATAAATAACAAGAAGTCCAAATGTATGCTTATGGGATCTGAGAGAAAACTTGAGAATTGTAATGATGTCTTGTGTGTATTATCGCAAAATCAGACTTCATTTGACAGACAATATGGAAGTAGAAAAACTTCTTGGTATCCATATAGATAAAAATCTATCATGGTCAATTCACATAGATAAAGTATGAGATTTTTTCAAGCAGATTATACCTGCTAAATAGATTAAAACGATACTTGCCTCGCAAAGGTCTCATCCTTTTTTACAATAGTTATATATAACCAATAATTGATTATTGTTGCACCATATGGGGTTTTACCGCAAACTGCAACATTGAGCAGATTCATAAGCTGCAAAAGCGCACAGCAAGATTAATTTTGAATAAACCTTTTGATTATCCATCAATATCAATGTTTAAAGAACTTAATTGGATGACCATTTTTACACGGATAAAATATTTTCAAGCCATTTTAATGTTTAAATGTATGAATGGACTAGCGCCAGATTATCTTACTAGTAAATTTACTGCGTGCAGTGATCTATATAGTTATTCTCTTAGGTCAACAACATCTGGACATCTTCATTTACCAAGGCCAAAGTCTGAATACTTCAAAAAGACTTTTCAATATTCTGGTCTAATTATTTGGAATAGTTTGCCAAATGTTATAAAGGATTCAAGTCATATCGAAAGCTTTAAGGTGAAATGTGCTAATCTTTTTTTCACAAAACAAAATGAGTAGACAAAACTTTTTTTTTTTTCTTAGGACATTCTTGCCATGCTAGTTCTACAGTCTGTTTTCATGCTTGTGAATATAAATTTGTAATTGTGTTCATCTCTATTGATTATTGTGTTATATGCATTGATTGTTATATGTATTAATTGTTCATTTTAATGTGTGAAGGCCTCGTGTGAGATTAACAATTGTATGTTAAATGAGTTACCTTCGTTAAATAAAGAATTTATTATTATTATTATTATTATGGTCCAAGTTGTCTTTATTAGAAGGTCCAAGTTGTCTCCAGGCCTAGTTGTCCCAGTCATTTTTACAGTGGCTCTCAGAGTTAGTCCTATAATATATGCTTTCGCATTATATTTTAGTTATTTAACGTTTTCATGCTGATATTTTCATGTTTTATTTTTTCTTAACCCTTTCACTGATAGCCGGCCCGACAGAATCTACTCTGAGACAATGGCTTCCCTGGCTATTATGACACAAGTGGGAGATCTTCACATTAAATATCAATAAAAACTTGTCTGTAGTTATTTATGTCTTTATATTATTCACTTACACCATGGACACAGTTTTGTTAATGTTTTGATCATTTTTTCTTCATAAAAAATCAAAATTTGCAAATTTTCGGCATTAGAGATGAAATTCTCGAAATTCAACTTTTTGATCCAAAATCGTAATTTTTTAACCAAAAACGGCAAAAGTTTGAAAAATTCAACAAGGTTGTACAAATTCCTTACACTGAACGATGTCCATTCCAAGTGTTTTTGTACATAAAACGGCATTTTATGTCAAAAAAGTATACTAGTATGGCTTCAATTCTTCCATATTCTTTAAAAAAAAATGTTTCCTTATTTCAAATTCTAGTAAAATCCGTAAATTTCATCTGATTTTGACACGGTTTTCAACAAACGGAAGCGCCATGTTTACACTTTCATCCAGGTATTCAACAAAGAAAGATAACTTGTGTTTCCAATGTTTTAGCGGGAAATGTAAAAGAGGTATTCCGATCCCAGTAAACCGGGACTCGTCGTCAGCTGTCTGAAGCGTGAATCCTGGTAAACCGGGATTCGTCGGCGAAAGGGTTAATGTGAAGTCATCGAATATGGTCATTTTCCTATAGCACTTTCCGCCCTGGTTTGACGGGTGCCTAGGGTGGCACATTGATAGTAAAAACAAAAAATAGAAAATAATAAATAGCAAAATAAGTAAAACGAAATTGTCAGAAATAAACAGAAAATAGAAAATAATGCCCCCGAGGTCATATATTATAGGACTACACTCAGAGTCTACATGAAAATGATAAAAAAAACATGAAAAGTTTCAGCTATGACAATGCAGACAACACATCTATAACATACTCTGATATCTTCTGTCAATTTTTCATTATCGTTTTGTTTCGAAGTTGCCAAGGCCAAACCAACAAAGCCGAAAAATGGAAGTCGTTGTGGTCTTCCAAACTCGAAAGCTGCTCTCCGTCTTAGCTGACTCGCTATCGTTTTGTATGACACACGACTTGTAAATAAGATGCTTCTTATTGGAGCTATGACTTGAGATGGATGCAGACGGAACAGTTCTGTTTTTGGTTGTCGGACTTCAACATTGTGTGATTGTTTCGAAAATGCGAGTCGAATGACATCCTTCCCACGTTTGAAGACATTCGAAATGACTTTGGCTGTCATTTTAGAGCCTTGCTGAGGGCTCAGGCCAAATCAAAGCCTAGCCCTCGAGATGAAATATATCTTTATAACAGCAGAAATAACTATTTTTGTAAAAGAATTATCTGCGCAATTCTTCTCTGTCCACCATTTCGCTGATGAAATAATGTCTGGGTTTACCTTCACCTACATTGAAAAGCTCAAAAACCTTCCGAAATTGGTACAAATTATCTCCCGTACTAATTCCCGCCAAACTGTGAATTCGACTAATTACCTCCTACATTGTAGACTACTAGTAATTTCACGAAATATCAGATTTTATGGGGGGGGGGGGGGGGGGGGGGGGGAGGGCCACCCCATTATGGAGCTTCATTTATGGTTAATCCAGACTTTTTACTGGTTCCACTACAAATTGTGTCTAGTTTGGGAGACATTTTATGGATATGAGTTAATGAGACAACCCAAAGACACAAACAAACTATTATTACGACAGTCTTAAACAGTTAAAATGCATAGTCTGATCCTGAGACTACTATAACAGTAGTCTCAGTCTGATCATACTGAGGGGAATGACAGACACGCTTTTGGGATGTGCAAAGATTTGTATATCACTATATACAAATCCTTGGGATGTGGGATATAAGGGAGAAAAGTGGGGATATGAGATATAGGGGTTAAAAGTGGGAGCTGGGGGAATAGTGGAAAGTTGGAAAAAGTTCTAAAATAGCGGGATTTGGGAGATGTGCACCCCGCGTGTCACCCGTCGTCATATAATTGCTCAAATCCGCTTCATTTGGACACTATAAGAAAACTGTCTTTTTGGCAATCATACCACATCTTATTTCATATAGTAACATAAAAGATTAATTCAGGGTATGACGAAGAGGCAGAAAAAGTAAAATGAAGATCATTAACTGATTTGGTTTATCACTATCGACGTTTGTGCTTTGAAAATGTTAGACTACGATTTCAATAACCTCCCGGGTGAGATGTTTGAGTAAAAACACGGAGGCTGATTATTAACCTGAGGTTCGTGCTTGGTTATTTTTTACACGAGAAGAAATAATTTGATATCAAGATAATCCTATAACCTCGACACTGGTGTCTTACGTTTTATCCGAATGGGTTTTTTTTCAATTGGAGATTTTGTGTTGATGACAGATCATTGATAGTTTCTATTCAATTAATTCACAATGTTTTTTTTGTAGAATCGGGACGATTAAAACCTTGCCCGCATATTGCATAGATGCATGTCTAATAAGACTATATTGACGTCGTTTCAAATTATTTTTGTCGTTGGGTAGCAGCTTAATTAACATATACCACTACTTCTCTTTTTATTTATGTTTAGTAATGACAGTAAATAAAAATTAAATAAAATATCCCCCTCTCTTTTCATCTACTACTAGTACATGTATAGCATATATTCACTAATCGATGTACTGTCATGCATGTGATAATACACTCAATATGGGCTCTTAATCAGATCTACAAGTATATTGTAAAGTGTGAGGAAAAGAAAAAAAAAAAACATTTCAAAATATGATAGCGATAAGTACTTGTTGAATTACCAGGAAAATGACTGTTTTCATATTCCGCATCATTTTTTTAAGTAATGGTCAACTCCTGCAGATGTTCAAAACGATGAACCCGTTTAATTTCTTCAACAAATCATAGAAAAAAACAACTTACGCAGTACTTAAAAAAATAAACAAACATAAAAAAAAAAAAAAAAAACGGATGTCAAGGGGTTGTCATCTGAATAAATGACAAATTTGCTTAAAGCCGCCTGCCATTCAGTGAAAACTATTTTTATCCAAACCTTAAATACCATCCCAAGCTCTAAAATCTGTGTCTGTTATTACAGCAATATACACATGTAAATATTCTGTTAATAACTTAAGATTTGATGAAAGAAATCATATAAAGAAATGTTAACTGATTTTTTAAAGCCTCTCTTAGCTATGCTAATTTATCCGTCAAAATAAATACAACTTTCTTAAGAGAGTTTTTGGTATGGCGCCAGAAAATACACAAAATCAGTCAGATAATTTCTCTGACTTAGAAGTTATAAATTGGGAAGTCGATCTTCTTTTCCGTTGTCATAGAAACAAGTAAGAAATATTACCTTCCTTTTACGGGACAGCGAATAAGAATGCACACACAATGCGCGTGTGTTTATAACATAGTCATACCAAAGATAGGTTTGATTAGGTCACCGCGTTACATTGCAAACCGATCCGTCGCTCATTATTTAATACTCCAAATAAGGGACCCCTGGTATCCAAACATCTTTAAAATATTCGTTTTAGATAAAACAAATTTGGCAGCTGTAGCCAGGGGGTCAACGAATTCCAGCTGATCCGTGTTGTGTTTACGACTGTCTACACATTTAGTAGTAACAGTACAGTTACAGGCGGAGATATTCAATCACGAGTTAAAAAATGGCGTATTTCTGAAAAATTGAGAACTTAGTGACATTTCTAAATATTAATTGTGACTTAAAAGTTAAAGAGTGAATAATTCGAGGAAAGATGGCACACAGGAGGAAAAGTTCTCATCCATTATGTAAACAAAAACGTATTTCTTCTGTAGTTGACCGAGTTTTGGCAGCAAAATTACAAGAAAGCGAAAAGAAGAAAGAAGTAAGTTTGATATTAAAATAATATTGCTTATTCAACTTTAGATAACTCTGATACTACTGATTAATTAATACATGTATTGATAATAACCACGTGCAGCGCCTCACGTGCATGCCTTTAATCAATTAGCATTGAATAATTAAGATTTTTCGGTGGTTTTTATGCTTCTGTATGGAAGTTATTTCTCAATGACCTACATCGGAATCTCGGATCGAAATAATTCTTTGAGAAGAACCAAATCTATGCCAATTTAAACATCTACTTTAAAAGAAATTATCTGTTTAAAATGACAATAATTAGTTTTATTATCATTATTATAATATTCCACTATTATCACTATTCTCAATATTTATTGTTTGAAATATATTTTTTTCCCGTCTAATGAAATTGATTCGAACTATTACTGTTTATGTGTATCGATACACACAACACCTGACCTATTTCCCCAGACCCCAAAATACCCCACTTAAAGACTTAAGTTAATCCAAAGACAGCAACATATGTTAATGATAAATATTTTTGTTTTAACTGTAAAAATTTCCCCCTTGAGGCTCGACTTTCCATATTTGGTAAATGCATCCTGACTTGAACAGACGATAAGAAGGCATCATGCTAAGATTCTTAAACAAGTGAAAATAATACCACACGTTCCACACTGATGGTAACTCTGATATGTATCTACTTATACACACATTTCTCTATATAAATCCATAAATTACCTCGTTAAATGTAGACTGGCAAACATTTGCAGAATTTACAAAACATGGGATATGAAAAAAATATTTTAAGAAAGAACTATTTTATACATGGAAAAGAATTTGTATTTGCATTTAAAATAGTGTAATTGTTTTCTAAAATATAAATATATATCTTTCATTAAGAAAAGGGAATGTTACTATTATAAAATTACGTTTTATGTGACCTTTCACCAAACAAATTAATTTAAGTAAACATGGTAAATGTATTAATATATTTTACTTTTAACCATGGATGCGTTACTTCTATATCAATGTAGCTAAACTAAAAGTGATTAGTTTCTTTTTTTGTTGTTGTTGCATATATATTTGTTTTGTTTTATTTTATGACAATATCATTAAGCATGTTGTAATTTTATTTTCAAGATTGTAAAAGTATCACCTCCTCCAAAATATCTAAATATATGATATACTTATATAATATAAATGTTGGTTACCTTTCAGTATTCTATGTTTGTAAATATTGTCATGTTTGTCTTGGTACCAACCCAATATATTGGTTTTACACCAATAAAATTAATTTGATTTGATTTGATTTGATGTATGCATGTTCGAACTTAGGCAACGAGACAGTCAAATAATGCTGATAACTTCTACCACATCTCCCAGGACCCCCTCTCGAGATATTTATATTTTCAAACTTAAAACGTGAAGTTTACCGAGCATTTAACGGAATGCAGTTAACGTTGTAAATTTTCTTTAATGATTTATTGGAGGAAAATTTTCCGAACCGTGGGAATGATACAGGACATCACACTCAAAAATTTAAACCAACCAGAAACCAACGAGTGGTCAAGGGTTTTTACAGTAGGGTCTTACTATAAATCTTTGGTGTTGTTTATCGAAATTCATCAAACTGATCAGAACTTCTTTGAGCCCTGTTGTCACTATCACAGTTTTCCAACTTGATCATAGAAAACTTTAAGAAAAAGCTTGGTCAAAGTCATCAGTTGTCACTATCAAAGTTTTTCATGAGAAATTAGTCAAAGAAAAGGCGGCAGTTCAATGTTTTTAATGAGAAAAATGGCACTAATATTCTTCTCACAGAATTACTGCATTATTAATTGTACAAGAGGGAAAAGAAGGGGGACAATAAATTGGTTGTTAAGAAAAAGACAGAAGTACTTTCAACACTCTCCTTCAAGAATTCCACAGTGAGAACCCAGTCGGATTCAGCAATTATCTTTGAATTACAAAGCGACATTCAATCTGCTACTTGATAATAAGGTTGAAACTCTGATAAAAAAAAATTCAATAAAATCATCTATCATTTCATTTCCCCTCTGAAATTTCTTTTACTCTTAATGGAGCTCATCATACTTTTCCCACCAATTTGCCATGTGCTTTTGTTTTGTAAACAAAAATTGTATCATTTCTAAACTGCACTATAATTGAATAAGAAAAATAGGATGAGATTCTATTCCATGCAAGTCCGTCAAAGTTTTTTTTATCAAAGTTTTCTTTGACGGGTGTCACTTTGAAAAATTCTTTAAAAAAAAATGTCGAAGTTTTCACGGCCAAAGAAAACTTTGATGGTGACAACGGGTCTTAAAAGCTAAATGCATATAAGATTAAAACCATGTAAAATAAACAGTAAACTTTTTCAAAGGTATTTTTGAAATACTACTACAAAGAGAAGTGTCCGATTTAGAAAGTATAAACATGCGTAACGATTGAAATGTTTCAGAAATGGTAAAGTGTAACCAAGGAGGTCATATAACTTTCTTGGTGTAACAAAGAGAAATACAAAGTTTTGCCAATACTACTTATAAGTTTTATATCATTGAATCAGATATTTGTGCACGTGGCTTACTAACAGTTATCCTGGGATTCTCTTCCACTTGCCCAACTTACAAATGTAATCTAGAATTGTTCGTATGATCCCAAGCTAAATGTCAAGTCTTTGTTCAAAGGAAAATAGTCCTAATTTTAGTCGCATACTTTTGGTTATGCATATTGGAATGCCTTTAAATTTTCTAAAACCAATACGCGGTTGGTAAATTTCATGCATTGATTATTTATTATACAGAAGAAAGAAGCAAAGCACAGCTTAACAATACAATACAATATTTTTTCTTCAACTTGAACACAAAATAGTTCAAATATTAGTCGCATAGTATGGGTTAGATACTTAATTCCCAGTTCGTATTTTCTATGACATAATATGCACAAATATCCCATGTTGCCAAATTTCATGGAGTAATTATTAATTATAAAAAAGAAACAAGTATTTACGAAATTTGCAAAGTAAATGATGGCACATAGCTACAAGCCTTTAAACTGTGATATCAAAGCACAGCGTATTTTTCGATTTTATCAAATTCCGGTTAACAATCGTCATTTCATGGTCACATCATCTAAACCTTTATCTGAAGTGAAGGGTCAACCAATACGCGAAAGTTACATGTTCTCTGCAGAAAGAACATGGGGTTGGCACTCCAAACATGTTTAACCCCACCACATTACTTATGTGCCTGTCCCAAGTCAGGAGCCCGGTGCTCTTTTCACAAAATATCTTACGACATAATTGATCATAAGTTATACTGAAATGTTCATGACTTGTGAGTATTTTTATGCCCCCGCTGTAGCGGAGGGGGCATTAAGTTTTACCCTTGTCCGTCTGTACGTACGTCCCAAAGTTGGTTTCCGTTCTCTAACTTTAGTTTGCCTCAACCAAATGTTATGAAACTTATACACAATGCTTATTACCACTAAATACAGATCAAATTTGAATTTTGGTGGCGTCACTTTTACCATTCTAGAGTTATGCCCCTTTACAAATGGAAAAATTGCTAAATTTTTCGTTTCCGTTCTCTAACATTAGTTTCCGTCAGCCAAATGTTATGAAACTTATACACAATGCTTATTACCACAATATACAGATCAAGTTTGAATTTTGGTTCCGTCACTTTTACTGTTCTAGAGTTATGCCCTTTACAAATGGAAAAATGTTTCATTTTTTTTTCTAAATATCAAGTTTTTTTTTTTAAATTGGAGTTATCTTCCTTTGTACATGATTATAGTTGAATCAACTACAATCAATGCTTTATACAATGCAATGTTTAATTTTGCCTTTCACTGATAAATTAAAGCAATTTTTACCCTTCATTCCTAAAAATATTTCAAAGTCTTTTTTGAAAATTGGAGTTATCTTTCTTTGTGCATAATGATAGTTGAATCAACTACAACCAATGCTTTATACAATGCAATATTCAATTTTACTTCCTACTGATAAATTAAAGCAATCTTTACCATTCAGTGCTTACAATCTATTTAAATATCGTTCTAGGGTTATGCCCCTTTACAAATGAAAAAAAATGCTGAATTTTTCGTTTCCATTCTCTAACTTGAGTTTGTCTTAAAACTAAATGTAATTTCCAAAAATATCAATGTCATTATTCAATTGATTTTTAAATTTGGAGTTATCTCCCTTTGCCCATGATTATAGTTGAATCAACTACAATCAATGTAACTCGAATAATTCAAGCCCTTTCCGTGTCTGATTTTCTCCCACACGTTAATGTAGCCTTCGTAGATCAGCGGAATATAACGACTGAATTATTCGGGTTACAATCAATGCTTAATACAATGCAATGTTTAATTTTGCCTTCCACTGATAAAACACAGATCAAGTTGAATTTGGGTAGTGTCACTTTAACCATTATTGAGTTATGCCCCTTTATAAATCGAAAGATTGCAAAATTGTTAGTTTCCATTCTGTAACTTAAGTTTGCCCCAACCAAACATTATGAAACCTATATACAATATTCATTACCACAAAACTAAGATCAAGTACAATTTTTTTGTTTCCGTTCTCTAATTTCAGTTTGCCTCAACCAAATGTTATGAAACTTATACACAATGCTTATTACTACATAATATAGATTAACTACGAAATTTGGTGGCGTCACTTTTACTATTCTTGAGTTATGTCCCTTTACAAATGGAAAAAATGATGAATTTTTTGTTTCCGTTCTCTAACTTTAGTTTGTCTCAACCGAATGTTATAAAACATATACACAACCGTTCTAGAGTTATGCGTTTTTACAAATAGAAAAATTGCTGAATTTTTAGTTTCTGTTCTCTACATAAGTTAGCCTCAACCAAATGTTATGAGACTTACACTGAATGCTTATTACCACAAAACTCAGATCAAGTTCAAATTTTGGTAGCGTCACTTTACCGTTCTTCAGTTATGTTCCTTTTTAACTATTATGTTATGCAAACGGGGGCATCATCTGTGTCCAC